ACCCACAGCCGTGCGGGCTGCCTTGCCTCGCCGCTCCTGGGCCACAGGCCCTGCAGGGCCATCCTGGCGGCACAGGCGGCGAGCCAGGCGACAGTAGCAGGCCAGAAGGGCTGCACAGGGCAGCAGGAAGCCAGTGACCGTGAGGGCCATGCCATAGGGCAGGTAGCGGGTGGCTAGGGCCGGCGAGCTCAGGTCATAGCAGACGGTGCGGTTCCGCTGGATGCCAGTGGCGGCAAAGACGGCTGTGGGCAGGCACTGTGCTGTCACCAGCAGCCACACAGCTCCACACACGAGCCAGGCAGCCCGGCGACCCCCACGCTTGTGCCAGGGGGCAAGCGGGTGGCAGATACCCAGGTAGCGCTGGAAGCTGATGCAGGTGAGGAAGAGGATGCTGCCGTGCAGGTTGGCATAGAAGACGAAGCGCACCAGGCGGCACGTGAGGTCCCCGAAGGGCCAGTGGTCCCGTTGGGCATAGTTGTAGATGAGCAGGGGCAGGGAGCAGGCATACAGAAGGTCGGCCAGGGCCAGGTTGAGGGTGTACACGGCTGTGCGGGTCAGGGCCCGGCGGGACGTGCAGATTTGGGCAATGACGCAGACGTTCAACGGCAGGCCGGCCACCAGCACTGCCGAGTACACAGGGGGCAGCAGCAGGCGCTTGAAGTCCTCTTGGTAGACACAGGTGGTGGGGGGCACGCTCAAGCCCTGAATGGTGTTATTGCCCCACTCCATGACTGCCCAACTGGACTTTCTACAACCAGAAAGGCTGGGGAAACAATATACAGTCTGTTAGTGACGTGCTTATTGACACTCTAAGGAGGCCCTAACAACTTCCTGGGCCCTCACCTCCGCAGCTGAACAATTGGGGCATCAATTTTTTCATCTCTTATATTTACCACACCATGGAATCCTCACACAGCTCTAATTTCAAGGAAACTTAGAATACAATAAAGCTCAACTTCGGGAGAGATTCAATTTACTTTTGTTCTACAGTATGCATTTTCTATCAGCCTTCCTAGTAAACTTCTATTCATCCTTTAAAACTCTGGTCAGATGTCTCTTCTGTTAATGAAAGTAGGTAGGCTTGGGTTTGAGTCACATTTCTACTACTTACTATTTATGTGACCTGGGGGTAGTGATCTACCTTCTCTGAGTCGCAGTTTCCCCATCTGAAAAAGGGGAGGAATGTGGCACCCAGCTCTCGGGGATGTGACGTGGTTAGAAGCACTAAAACAAGCTATGAAGGGCTCCTGAGCTCCTTGCGGGGTGGGGAGGGGAGATGGAAATTGTAGTCATGGTCAGTCTGCCTGTCTTTCATAGACTGAGGACCTCCTGAGAAAAAGTAGTAGATTTGGTGTCTCTCTGAGTCTCACAGCCAGGCCTGGGGTCCAGGGCCAACGGGTCCCTGGTACCTCTGCCCGTATAAATGGTCTACACACTGCGAGCTCACTGAAGGCAGCTCCCACTTCAGCAGCCTGAACTCCACCTTCCAAAGCCATGGTTCATTTTCTGGCCGCAGGCCTGTTATCTGTAAAATAGGACAAGGAGTTGACTGTATTTTCCCTAAGACTTGCTTCAAAATGACAGGAAGCTACCACAGCAGTCTAGTAGGGCCATGTTCCTCCACAGTGCTCCCTGGTGGCAAGAGTGAAAATAGCTTCTCCAAGGGCAAACGGAGAGACAAAGCCCCACAGGCTTATGTTGTTTTGAGACAGGATCTCTAGCCTCCAACTCATGGCGATTCTCCCGCCTGAAAGTGCTGGGGCTACAGGCATGCACCACATGCCAGGCCCCACAGAGTTATAGAGATGGAAATCCACAGTGAGGGGCTGGGACTGCCAAATCTTAGTGAGTTAGAAGCAGAGTTGGGACCAGAACCCAGTCACTTGATTCAGAGGAGGCAGCTTAGGGAAGACACAGGATGTAGAGCTTACAAGGGCAGCTTTAGAGCTAGGCAGCCTTGGGCTCAGTGTTGGCTGCCCCACTACCATGCTGAGCAACCCAGGCCATGTCAATGCCCTTTTCTGCCTGTTCTCAGCAGTAAAATGTGTCACAGGCCTGACCTTCAGCAGGTGCTCAGTTAATACCATGCCATTGCATCTGACACCTACACCACCTCTCATTAGCTCAGGCTGAGTTTTGGGGGATCCAACAGTAAAATGCCTAAGTCTGGCTCCTGAATCTTATAAATACTCCTGGATAGGGACATTTCCACATCAGTGATACCTAGCGGGAATTACTTTACACTGTCAACCCAATGGACCTGTAGGACAAAGCTTTGGGTATAATGAGTCCAATCAGTCTCTTGCTCTATTTTACATATGGGAAAGACTGAGGCCCAGGAAAATTGTGAAAATGCACTCAGAGGGTAGTAGAGGGTTGAAGCCAAGTATATGGACTCTGATCTATATGCCCAGCCCTCCCACATGTGAGCTGTTGGGCATATTCCTACCCCCGTATCTCAGTTTCCCTATCTGTAAAGTGGGTTACTGTGGTACCTGTTATAAGGCTGTTGTAAAGACAGTGCCAGGCACAAGGACAAGTGTTAACTGTTCTTCACTGTGAATATACCTGCTAAGTAAGGCTATAGAATTTTTAAAAAGTTATATTAGAGGGAAAAATATTCTTCCCAATTTAAAATTTTATTTTAATGAAAGTATTTTACCTGAATTCTGGACCAAATGGTAAGGTTTGGAGTCTCTGTCTGCACCCCACATCCCCTATCGCCTTCAGTTATCAGAGATCCCTGATGTGCTTTCAGCCTGTGCCTTGTGCCCAGCTGAGATGAGGTGGTCTTGGTGAGGGGAAGGAGAGGCCCAGGGGTCCCTGCAGTGTATCCGGGCGGGGGCAAGATGAGAACGGGCAGAGGAAGGAAGGTCACTCGAGCATCTCCACGCTCACTCGCGCAGGCTGCGCTTTCACTCACGTGTTCATTCTCATTTCCACCAGACATCTCCTAGCTGCCTGCTGGACACCCGAGGCCATAGGGAAGTCTGTAGATGTAGATGTTGGTTACATACGTCACCCTAAGGGGAGATCATTGTGAGCCACAGGATGCAAGGGACTTTTCAGAGGAAGACTGCCAAGGAAAGATGAAGGTATAGGAGACCCCAGGTGGGGAGGGAGGTAGAGCAGGTGGACTCTGAGAGGAGACCATTGTGGGCGGAAGGGTGCAGTGTCCCTAAATCTTCCTTTGGGAGACCTCTGTTTTCTTCCTCTTCTGCTTCCTGGCAAGTCTGACCCTTCCGGGAAGCCCTTCCCTGCCTGTTAGAAGAAGGTAGGGTCTACAGGAGGGGATCCTTGAGTTGCCCACCTGCCTGTTGGGCACACCTCAGGGCTGGGCCAGAACAGCAAGACCGGCTGTCATCTGGCTCCCCATCCCCTCTGCCTTCTAGGGACCCTGGAGTCTGAGTTGTTATCCAAGCTCCTGGCAGGGGCTGCCCTAGGGAGGGTTTGCTTGGCCCCACCCCTGACCATCTCACATCCATCACCCACTCTTGGGCCCTAAGTCCTGGGCCAGCTCAGACCCAGGCTCCCAGGAGGCTCAGTGGCTCTGACCACGTCCTTCCCCAGTCCTCTGCCTTTGGAGAATGCCCAATTCCTGTTCCCACTGTTCAAGACCGCTGCCTAGCGCTCCAGGCTCACCGCGAGGATGCCAGGTCTGCTCCACTCTGCCCACGCTGCTGCCTTTTCTCTCTCATCATATTGCTCCTAAGATGCCAAGACAGCCATATGGAGCTAGCAGCCAGAGATGAAGACGCCCTCTCCAGCCTCCCCGTTGGTGCTGCTCCCTTCACACAGTGCCATTCATCATCTCCGTTGTCAAGCCCTGTGTGTCCACCAAGCTCCTGACCCCACCTTTCTTCCTTGTCTGATCCCCTAGCTGGGATCCAGGGTCTCCCACTCTTGGGGCTCTTTTAGGTCTGCCTGCTGTCCAGTCACAGCCCCTTGTGTCCAGCCACCTACTCCACCCTAACCCATACTGGCCCTGAGATGCAGTGACACTCACATGCAGCCTCCTGTCCCACAGCAGGTCAGTGGGCCCAAGCGTGTTGGAGCAAAGGAAAGCCAGGGCTGAGGCTCCCCATGCTCCTGTCCTCAGGCAATACCTCCAGTCATGGACGGGCAGACAGCTTCCTTTGCTTCCTGGCAGAGCTGTCTCTGACTGAAATAGTCTCCACAGGGGCCACTCCTCCCTGCCACCCCTGACACCTCACTCTGACGGAAACTGGGCCTGGAGGAATAAGGAGGCGGAGAAAAGGCAGAGAAAGGGAGTCTTTCCTGGAACCGTACCCCCTCCCCAGCAATGGAAAGGCAGGAATGAAGGAGTGAGGAGGACTAGAGAAGGTCAAAGGCCAGCCACATAGGCCCAGCCATTTTCTTTCTCTTCGGCCCTCTCTGTCTTCTCATCAGTCACGTGAGTGTAACATCCAGAGCCGCGTTCATTTTCCCAGTCACTCACTCACTCCCATCTTTCCTTCTTTCCTTCATTACACAGTTCATCCATCAGTACACGCATCTCTCCGTGTCTCTATGTGGCAATCCACTTGGGTACTCACTATGTAGGCCCCTTCTTCCTCTCTCCTTGTTCTTTTTCTCCATATTTACTGAGCAGCTACTCTATGTCATCAGCCTCTTGCACATTTCCTAGTTGGCAGTCACTGCCCTTTCCCCAAGGCAGGCCCAGAGCTCACAAGGAATGTGTAGGGAGTACTCTCAAGACTTCATCCGAGTGACATTCTTCCTGCCTGTGCCAAGTCCTCCCTGACCCCTACTCAAATCAGGCTTTGGAGCTATCAGGACAATCAGAGGGAGACAGGTGTCTCTTCACTGTCCCCAAGAGGCTGGCTCCAGGATGGAGGCAGCAGTGAAGGAGGGTGACCCAGAGGAGGGAGGACTTGCTTTTGAGGCAACCAGGTGGGGATGGGGTGGTGCAGGGAAAGAACATAACACCAGGAGATGGAGGCCCAGGTGTCCTCTGAGCCGTGGGTGGCTCAGAGTGTGGTCGCACTGTGCACCAGCGTGGTAAGAGGATGATGGCCACAGGGAGCAAGAACTCCTTTCACCCCGTGGGATGCTGAAGACACTCTTGGATTCCAGGAGCAATCAGAACAGTTCCTTGTTGGTGCTCAGGATGGCCACTCCCATCAGAATGGGTCACTGTCTATCCCAGGAATGGGAGCGGCTCTAAAGGCTTCCTGGAGGTGTCAGCCCACAGGTGGGTCTGGGTTAGACATCTGAGTGGTTTCAGTTGCTGCCACTGGGACTGGAGTCTTCCCTGCACTGAGGACCTGTGGCCATGAGGTGGTGCCAGTGGACAGCCCCAACAGCCGCGGTCCTGTTGTGCGCCTCTCTAGGAGGTGTCCCAGAACTGGCTTCCTAGCCTCAGTTTCTCTGACCACTCCTCAGCCTTTCTCCTAGGTTCTGCTCCCAGATAAACTTCAGCCCTATACTCAGATTCTCACCCTGGTGCCGAGGCCAGAAGTGAACCCTGTCCCTTTTAGGTAGAGGCCCTGGAGGATGGCCACCTCCGCTCCAGGTTACCATCAGCAAGAACATCAAAGCCTTTACCCTCTGGGGGACAATCTATGCCCATTTCCTTCCCTCAGCTCAGGTGATAACCGTGAGGTCAGTTCTACAGCAGAATGAACGAATTTAGATGCAAGGAAGAACTGACAGAATTAAAGCTCTTTGGGCTATTCAATTGCCACAGTCTCAGGTTGCCCTTTAGATGACCCCACAGCCTGCCCCGACAAGGCCTTTATGTCTGGAGAGGATGAGGGAGCCTGTCAGCTGGAGGCAGGATCTGGAAGCCTGAGTCACTGCCTCTCAGTTGGGCCAGATGCGGCTGGACCTGGTGAAAGGCTTCCCAACCTTGGCCTGTCTGCCTGCTGGGAAGCCGAGCCCGGGAGTCCCCTTGCTGGGCCCCTGGTCTATGAGCTGAGCAGTAAGGACACAGGATGACAGGGGTTAAGACCCAGCTTCCTTCGCTGAGTCAGACAGGCTGGGATCTACCACCAACTTGTTGTGTGACCTGGGGCTAGCCACCCATGCTTTCTGAGTCAGGTAAACAAGGTTAGCTATGGTACCCACCATCTTCGCAGTGCTGGCCCTGCATGCCCTCTGACTGGAGCCCACCTCAGGGCAGCCTGAGGCCAGGCTTCTGATGCCAGTGCCTCCCTGGCACCTAGAAGACAGTGGGCAGGAGCAGAGTTCCTCACCTGGATTTCTGGTCCCACCTTTGTTATCAGGTTGGTCACAGAAGCAGGCAACCAAGCAGGAGGGGACCAGGAGGGCAGAGAATCTGCTTTCTCTTCTCCTTTCCCACTTCCTCTTCTCCTCCTGCTCAACAGGAATCAAAGCTGGAAGTGAAACCTCCATTTTGAGTACAAAGAAAGGGAAGCAGCTGCTTTGGGGGATTTGGGGGTTGGGGCCCTTCTTTTGGTTTCTCTTTGGGACAAGCAAAGAGGGAATTTGCATCTCCGGAGCCCCTGGTTCATGCCAGGTGACAGTAGCCTGCAAGTGTGCTCCCATCTGCCCCAGACACAGACTTACTGGGACTGACAAGGGGCCAAGCATTAGTAAAAAGTCTTCCATGCTGCATCTTGTCTCCTCTTCACAATACTGTCTCCACCTTACAGATGGGAAACTGAGGCGAGGCAGAGTTAGCTAGAGTTCTGTCTGGGGAATGTGACTGAAAGGGTTGGGGACCACAGAGGAGCTGGTGGGCACAGGGTTGAGGTGCAGTGGGAGAGAGCAGAGACCAGGGAGGGACTGTGGAAGAGCTGAGAGGGAGCCCCTGGAACCCCACTTTCAAGTCTCCCCGGTCTGCAGCACCTCTGCCCAGTAGAGCTAGAGTGGGTGGCCCTGTTCCCTGCCCGGACCCAGGCTTTCCTGGACCTCTGTCTCCCTGGGGAGGAGGCCACTCAGATTGGCCTCTGAGAAGGAGCCTGCTCCTCGCTGGTGCCTCCGGGAGCCGCCCTTCCTCTCAGACCAGGCTCCAGACCTTGGCGGGAAGTAATGGCCAGGGTCCAGGGTGGTGCCTTGCTGCAAGCAGTCATTGTTCTGTTTCTCTGCAGCTTCTTCCCACACACTTCCCAGACTCCCACTCCTGATGGCTGCCCCGCCTCCTAGCCTTCCTTTGGGGGATCCCCTCCTTTCCCTTGAGGCTCTGGGAAAGGGTTGGCCTGCCAAGGAGAGAGGAGTGGGTTCTTCAGGCCCTGTGGCTGCCTTGGGGAGAGGTGAGCCACCTTTACCAGGTGCCTGGAAGTCAATTCTGAGGCTTTTGCTGGATAGTGTGGAACAAGACAGGGTTTCCATTGGGTTTGTAAAGCTGGTAAGAGATGAGGCTAAGGCTGCTGCAGCCAGTTGAACTATGTGCCAAGGTCTGTCCTAGGTACTCAAGATATCACCAGGGAAGACCCCATTCATCATTAAAACAAAGGATGAGAGAGGTGGGGACACACTTTTCTGAGAACAGCATGGAGAATGTTTCCATCAATAATACCTGAAGCTTGACCTTCTACTGGACTTTTTGTAGCTGATAAATTCCCTTTTTGTTACTTGGAATCAAGCCTGTAGATCTGTAACCTGTATCTTCCATTCCTCTTTCCTCAGCCCTGGGCTCACAGCTTTGGTCCCAGAACTCTGAATGGGAGGCTGGAGCTGGCCATATATTTGATGGCTGCCAGCACAAGGCACAAGGACAGAGGGGCTGCTAGGTAGGAATCAGTTCTCGTGGGACAGCTGAGAAAGGCCCCTAACCAGTTCATTTCCCATGAGGTTTCCACTGTGCCATCTCTGTAGCTCCTGAGCAGGACAAATAGAAAGCTGCAAACCTGGGTTACAGTCTTAGATTCATTACCCACTTGCTCTGTGACCAGGGGAGGTTGCTTCACTTCTCTGAGCCTTGTTTTTTGAAGGCACTGGATGCTAGTTTCTTGGCTATTCAGAAAGTACCAGGCACTGGAACTAACTGTTTTTGTGCCAGGGTCTCATTTGTTCTTAAACAGCCTAGGGATGGGATGTGTTGTTCCACTATACGCAGGAGGAAACAAGCTAGAGAAGGCCGGAGAATTGTTCAGTGAGTCAGTTGTGAGCCAGGCTGCAGAGCTGAAGAAAGATAGTCTGTGCTGGGGAAGACAGGTGACATTTCCCCACAGGAAAACTGAAGTCAGAGCCATCAGAAACTTGCTGAAGCACGGTGAATACATCGTGACATCCTGTTTCTTGGGAACAGTGGCCTGAGACAGGATAGGAAATGGATAGATGTCACACGGTCTCCCTTCCTTCTCCAACTTTGTTAGGACCTGGGACATGGTCTGCTTTGCCTTTAGGACCTCAGAAATCAGTAGAGATTCCTGTTCCTGGCCAAGAGGCCCAGGGAAAAGTGGGAGGAACAAATCCAGTCCAAAAAGGTGAGTCCCAGGGCTCTGTCCTTGGTGCTGCCTGGTTCGATAAATTAAAAAAAAAAAAAAAATCTTTGTCTTGACTGATGACAGAGACTATTATCAGGGGAAAGATGGAAAAGCCTGCAGGAGAAGCACCTGCCTGAGTCCCCTAGCCCTGACATGAGGAAGAACAGATCACCAACACTGTCTGAGTCTTTCTTGTGGGTTATGATCCTGTCCATTTCACAGACACTGAGGCTCGAAGGCACTAGGCACTGTCCACAACCCTAACGGGTAAGGTGTGAGTGTGGAGGGAACTTCAGAGAGCCCCTCCCTATCTTGGCTCCTGCTCTGACCGGTCTGGGGCCTGAGTCCACCTGGCAGAGACACAACATCCCACTGGACCCCAGAACCACGTGTCTGAGTCCTGCACCCTTAAGGCCAGAGAGGTCTTGGGGTCATCTGACTCAGAGCTATTCCTACTCTGCTGTAAGAGAAGGAGGCCCCAGAAGCCCTGCTGGCAGGGCACATCTGGCCCCTGCTTGCACGCTTCCCACAACTTCTCTCCCATGCCTCTTCATTTCATCTTGAGACAGCTTCCTGGGGATTTTCTTCATCACACCTTGCCCCTAGATCTGCTGCTTGTCATTTCTTCCGTCACACAGTCTGGCCTGCTTTGGGGGCCACAGAGCCTG